CATACTACCCAATTTTGAATATTTACTATAAAACTTCAGTAATCAAATTAAGTATGATACTAGCATAAGGATAGTCATATCGATCAATAGAACAGAACAGAGAATCCAGAAATAAACTTTCACACTTATGATCAACTGATTCTCAAAAAAGGTAACCAAAGTAATTCAATAGGCAAAAGACAGTGTTTTGAACAAATTGTCCTGGAACAACTGGATATCCATATTAAAGACAAACAAACAAAACCGTAGACCTTTAGGTAACACCACACACAAAAGTTAATTCCAAGTGGATATTAGACCTAAATAAAGAACTAAAAACTGTAAAACTTCTAGAAGAAAATACAGTTGAAAAATCTTGTAACCTGAGACTACACAAAGATTTCTTAGCTATGACACCATAAGCACAATCCATAAAAGAAAAAGAAAAAAAGATAAACTGGACTTCATCAAAATTAAAACCATTAAAAGTGAAAAGATAAGCCACAGACTGGGAAAAATATTTGCAGATCATATGTCTGATAAATCACCTTTATTTAGAGAGAACTCTTACAACTCAATAATAAGACAAACAACTCAATTTAAAAATGAGTAAAAGATTTTAATATAGTTAAATACCAGGGAAAAAAATACATGAATGGCAAACATACAAAAAGATGCTCAAGAGCATTAGAATTAGTTTTTATTCGGAGTATATAAAGAACCCTTACAACTCAATAATAAGACAAATGACCCAATTTAAAAATGGGCAAATGATTTGAATAGACATTTCACCAAGAAAGATACACAAATGGCAGATAAGCACATGAAAAGTTGACCAACAATATTAGTCATTAGGGAAATGCACATTAAAACCACAATCAGGGGGCACCTGAGTGGCTCAGCTGTTAAGTGTCTGCCTTCGGCTCAGGTCATGATCCCAGGGTCCTGGGATCAAGCCCCACATCGGACTTCCTGCTCAGCGGAAGCCTGCTTCCCCCTCTCCCGCTCCCCCTGCTTGTGTTCCCTCTCTCGCTGTACCTATCTCTGTCAAATGAATAAATAAAATCTTTAAAAAAAAAACAAAAACCACAATCAGACCACTACACAACCACTAGGATGGCTAAAAGGGAAAGACGAATACCAAATATTTGTCAGGAAGGAAACAAAAACAAAGACAAAAACAAAAACAAAAAACAACAAACCCCTCAAACACTACTGGTGGGAATGAATAATGGTAAAGCTACTTTGGAAAAGTTCTGCAGTTTCTTAAAAAGTTAAACATAAACTTACCATACCACCCAGTAATTCCATACCTAGGTATTTAACCAGAAGAAATTAAAACAAATGTTTACACAAAAACTTGTATGGGCAAGTTTTATATATCATTTTGTTCATATTAGCTAAAACTGGAAACAATCTAAATGTCCATCAACTGGGGATGAATAAATAATAAAAAGATGACTCAACAATAAAAAAGAGATAAACTCCTAATATATGCACTAACACGGGTGAACCTCAAAAGTACTAGAAGTAAAAGAAGCCAAATATGTAAGACTATGTATTATACAATTTCATTAATTTGGAATTTCTAGAGACAAACCTAGTGGCAGAAAGTAGATCAGTGACTGTCTGGAGTGGGGAGTGGGAGTAGAGGCTGACTACAAATAAGCAAAAGGAACTTTCTAGGGGGGATGGAAATATTCTTTAAAAAAAAAAAAAAGAAAAGATTTTATCCATTTATTTGAGAGAGAGAATGCGAGCAGGAGTTGGGGGGGAGGGGCAGAGAGGGAGAGAATCCCAAGCAGGCTCCACACCCAGCACAGAGACCAATTCAGCACTTGATCTCACAAGGGAGATCATAACCTGAGCCAAAACCGAGTCAAGACACCCAACCCACTGAACCACACAGGTGCCCCAGGATGGAAACATTCTAAAACTGGATTGGGATGATAGTTGCACAACTCTGTACACTTACTAAAAATTCTTGAACTACACACTTACATTGACTGAATATTATGGTATGTAAATTATACTGCAATTTTTTTTTTAAAGATTTTTATTTATTTGTCACAGAGAAAGAGAGCACAAGCAGGGGGAGCAGCAGAGGGAGAGGGAGAAGCAGGCTCCTCACTGAGCAAGGAGCCCGATGTGGGACTCGATCCCAGGACCCTGGGATCATGACCCGAGCCGAAGGCAGACGCCTAACGACTGAGCCACCCAGGCGTCCCTATACTGCAATTTAAAAAAGATTTTTAAAACTAAGGAAATGAATTTTCATTAAGTTCATCAAATATTAAAAACTCTGCCATATACGGGGTGCCTGGGTGGCTCAGTCATTAAGCGTCTGCCTTCGGCTCAGGTCTTGATCCCAGGGTCCTGGGATTGAGCCCCGCGTCGGACTCTGAGCTCAGCAGGAAGCCTTTTTCTTCCTCTCCCACTCCCCCTGCTTGTGTTCCCTCTCCCGCTGTCTCTGTCAAATAAAATCCTAAAAAAAAAAAAGAACTCTGCCATATTCAATAGAAGGCAAATATGTAAGCAATCCCTAATCCCAAAATGTTCTTTCTTCAGGTTTATATAAGTGCCTTAGGAGTAGTGAGTCATGGGGCTATGGGAGAAGAGACAGAAATGAGAAGACAGAGCCTAAGGTTGTTGCCTTGGCCTTATCTTAATTATTTTGAAGAGTAATAGGATGAGATGTTAAAGTCTAATCAGACTGCTCTTAGGTAGTCAGGAAGCAGAAATTTAAATGGTCTGATTAGAGCCCAGGAAAACAGCTTTTCCAGCTGAACTCCACTGGTCTCAGACTTCACCACTGAGGGACATCCTCCAGAAAGCAAAACAATGAATTCAACACAATGCTGCAGAGCAGAAGTTTTATTTGATGTCATGCTGGCTTGCTTCCAAGGGAGTATATCCTAGTCAGTACTAGTTGTCAGATTAGATATTTTCAACTCCACTTATTTTTATTGGTTGGACACACTCAAACTAGTAGGCAGACTCACCAATGACCTGTCAAGTACATGAAGAAAAGCTAAAAAAATTTAAGAAAGTCAGATTGGGCCATAGTGACCAAGTGAAGAAATTATGACTTTCTTAAATGACTCTTTAGTTGCTATGAGCTAACATTCATCGAGTTCCTACTAAATGTTAGGTATTATTGTAAGCACATTTAGATATATTTGTTCATTAAATCCTCAAAAAACCGTATGAGCTGTGGAGTGTTTTTATCTCCTTTCTATGAGTGGGGACTGAGAAGTGAAGTGACTTACTCAAGGACACAGCTAATGAATGGCAAGGCTGACATTTTAACCCATGAGTTTACCTAGAGAAACTATGGTAGCCACTATGTAACATTGCCTCCCCATTTATATATTTACTCACTAGAACTATGTGCCTCTTCTGTTCAAAACTCCCTAGCGTTCCTCTGCTACTCAAGGTCAAAGCCAAAGTTCCTACAATGGTCTACAAGTCCCTATGTGCTCTAGCTTGCCATCACCTCCCTAAAACATCACTGACCCATTGCATTCACTTTGCTGTTCCTGGATCACACAAGACTTGTACCTATCTCAGAGGCTTTGTATCTGCTGTTCCTACTGCCTGTAACTCTTCTCTGAGACAGTGGAGGTTTGCTCCCTTGTGCCTTTCAGACCTCTACACAAATGTCACCTCTTCAGAGAGGCCTTCCCTGACTACTCTTCCTAAAATAGTACTCCCCACCCTTTTTATACTTAATTATAAGCACCTGACAATGTTTATTACCTAACTCCACCATCTAGAATATAAGCTCCAGGAGAGCAGGGACATCTAGGAGTTTGGCTTTGCACCACCAGTGCCTAAGACAGCACCTGGCAAAAAACAGACAATACTTGAATTTAAAAATCTGCCACATATGCTTTGATTCACAACCCAGTTATATAACTTTAGGTAACATTTCATGACCCCGTACCAATAAAATTCAAACCAAAAGAAAAAATGCAGTCTTTTAGAACCTTTATTTCTATTATTTAAAATCTGATCTTCCCTAATGTGTATGTATATTTCCATGCCTCCTTTAAAAGGTGAAGTTTCTTTGGAAAGTCTGATGACTTCTATAAACTTTGCTACACAAAAAATTGTTAAGTGTAACTTCTTAACTGTGTCTTGAAGGGGAAAATAAGCCCAAGTTGCCAATGGATGCCTGTCCCTCAAGGGAAAATGAAATTCTTAAATGCATTGACTTTAATACTGCAAAATAAGTAAATAACGCATATCGAACTTCAGGCTCAATTTACACAAGACTCTAATTTCCTAGCTACAGCTAGATGACTTTCTATTAGTACCTCAAAGTTTGCCTGTTTAAAAAAAAAGAGTAAAAAACAGATTTTTAAAAACTTTTCACTTTATTTGGGTCATTTTAGAACACACATATTTGCTTTGTTGTTGTTGTTGTTAACAGAGCAGTAAGTCACAGAACACCATGAGCTCTTCCTCAATAAATTAAATACTCCCTAGGAGGAGAGGAAAGAGGAATAGGTGAGGGAACATAGGCAAAAATAAGAACAATATGTGCCAAAAGATAGATTTTGTAAGAAGGCGAGCCACCCCATCTGAAACTGCAGGTTTCGAGGAGGCTGGTTTCAAACAAATCGAGAGCGATGGGTAAAGTCCAACTCTCCAAATACTGTTGCAGATCATCCGGAAACAAATACTGGCGGCACTTGGGGAGTGATCGAAAGTGAAGTAGTAGGGCCCCCTCCGTCCCACTCATATCAAGTATCTCCACGCCACTCACCTTGCATTTTAGATGAGCACAAATCACATCCCTACTTTAATCAGGGAAGTTAGAGGGAGTCGGACATCCCTCCCTATACATACACAAACCATTCACTCAAGGGCTGTAAAACGCAGTCCACGGAATCTGGGAAGACCGAAACCCGGAGTCGCTGGAACCTCTCACTCCAAGTTCTCTCCGCTTTCTGAGGCTGAGCCGAGAGGAATGCCACAGGGACAAAGCGGGGAGGAAGGGGGCATCTCCCCCTTACCTTGATGGCTTTCTCCATGTCGCTCTCCTCGGACATGCTCCTTGGGGCCTCTACGGCCGGGAGCGGTGGAGGCTGCACAGGTGCCCGGTCCCACCGTAGCCGGGGGAGCAAGGGGCTCGGCGCTCGGGCCCCTGGGCCTCGGGGAGACCGGCAGCAGCCGTCCCCAGGGACCGGCGGGGATGAGGGCCCCGGCGCCGGCTCCGCTTCGGTGGGCGGCTCTAGGCTGGCGGCGGCGGCCCCCGGGGACAAGCCTTTGTGCTGGGCCCCGTGCGGCCGCCTCCCGGCTTCATCCCCGGCCGGGGAGGCAGGCTCACGGGACACGGTGAGGCGGGGAGGGTCC